ATCAGTTTCATCTGCTCTTCTCTCCAGCTAAATAAAGGAGCCTTCTTTGGATTTCCCTTTTCTTTGGTGATGTACTATCGCAGATCCAGAACTGAATACTTTCACTGTTTTGTAACCAGCCTACCATATCATTCTGTGCCAGCTACATTTTTTTTTTTTAAACAAAAGAAAGAAAAAAAAGCCAAAAAGTAATTGAGATCACTAGAGACAAGCTAGCCTTTTTTGGGAGTGGAGGGCGGTGAGGGGGTTGGTCCTGGGGCTTGAACTCTGGGCCTGGGCGCTATCCCTCAGCTCTTCAGCTCAAGGCTAGCACTCTACCACTTGAACAACAGCTCCACTTCCGGCTTTTTTCTTTTTGCTTATGTGGTGCTGGGGAATCGAACCCAGGGCCTCATGCATGCAAGGCAAGCGCTCTACCACTGAGCCACTTTCCCGGCCCTTTCTGAGTGTTTTATTGGAGATAAGAGTCTTACTAACTTTCTTGCCTGGGCTGGCTTTGAACTGTGATCCTCAGATCTCAGCCTCCTGAGTAGCTAGGATTACAGGCATGAGCCACTAGCGCAGGGTCAAGGTAGCCTTTTTTGTCCAGAATTTTCTCATTCTCCTGGTGATTGTCAAAAAAAGACATGAAAAACTAGGTACTGTACTAAGCAAGCATAAGTCTATTAAGTAGTATAGATACCTGCTACTTTAGAGGTTTAGAGTTGGGAAGAGTTCATCAAAATGGAGAGGCTAGTCAGATATTAGCTTATCTTTGGAAATTTCAAATCCCAGGGGTTACATGTTTTTATGAAATTGAAGTGAATTATCTCTTGCTACCAAACATGAATATAAAATACTGAAAAGATACTTGCTTGAATTGACTGTTGTATACGATAGTCACAAGATCTTTGCTTGAACTGGCTATTTTGTACAAGCATGAAGCATGAGTAAGATTTTGTGGGAAAACTGCTGTCAGTTTATTTATTTAACATTTAATTACCTAATATTGGCTGATATCTTTTTATAGGGAGTTATGTCTGAATGGTACTGAGAGGGAATAGGTTAGGAAAGCAGAGATAATTGAGATAGAGGATGAGTATTCAAGGAACTATAAATAGTTCATTATGACTGGAAGATAGACTACTTTGCAGACAGAGATTAGGAGATTAAAGATGGATTACAAGGCAAGAATCAGCACCCGAAAGATCAGTCTGTGTCAGCAAAGGAGTTTGAATTTAATCCTGAAGATTTTAAGCAGATCGGATTGCATTCCAGAGACCTGGAACTGATAGCATTTTGGAGAATTAACTGAGGGAGCTAGACTAAAACTGTTGCAGTAGCTGGACCCTGGTGGCTCACGCCTGTAATCCTATCTACTCTGGAGGCTGAGATCTGAGGATCAGGGTTCAAAGCCAGCCCAAGCAGGAAAGTCAATGAGATCCTTATCTCCAGTAAAGCACCAGAAAACTGGAAGTGGTTCTGTGGCTCAAGTGGTAGAGTACCTGGAGCTGAAGAGCTGAGGGACAGTGCCCAGGTCCAGAGTTAAAGGCCTATGACCACCAACTACAAAAAGCTGTTGCAGTGCCTGAATTAAGGCAGTGTGAATAGAAAGAATGGGATGAGCATGAGTGCCACTAAGAATTGTTTGAATGATTAAGAAGTTTAAGAGAGCAAATGTTTTAACATAGTAAACATTCTATGCATTGAGCTACAGTCCAAGTTCTGTAGTTGGTTTTAATTTTGGTTTTTAGAAAGAAGTGTTAAGACTAATAGAAGAGTTAGAGGTATTGCGTTTAGTTTTGGACATTTTCACATTAAGATACCCAAAGGACCTTAACCCTGGCGTGCCTGCGTGCCTCCGTGCTTGCCTGCTTGCCTGCCTGTGTTGTGTGCGTGCGTGTGTGCGTGCGTGTGTGTGTGTGTGTGTGTGTGTGTGTGTGTCCAGTCCTGGGGCTTGAACTCAGGACCTGGGCCCTGTCCCTTAGCTTCTTTTGCTCAAGGCTAGCACTCTACCACTTGAGCCACAGTGCCACTTCCCGTTTTGTCTTTTTACATGATACTCAGGAATCGAATCCAGGGCTTCATGCATACTAGGCAAGCATTCTACCACTAAGTCATATTCCCAGCCCTAACCCTGGCACTTGTGTGAGTGTGAAACAGTAGAGGTGTCAGGTTGGAGAATGGTTGTAATTAATATTTGAGAGGTACCTGTAAATCATCTGAGAGGTACAGTAAAAAGCAGAAGATCAAAGACCATTAATTCTGAGTTTTTTTTTTCCCCCTGGGCTTGGGGCTTGAACTCTGGGCCTGGGTGTTGTCCTTGAGCTTCTTTTTCTCAATATGAACGCTCTACTACTTGAACCATAGCACTACTTCTGGCTTTATATATATATATATATATATATATACACACACACATACACATATGAATATAAATATATAAATTTTGGTCAGTTGGGGGGGCTTGAACTCTGGGCCTGGGCGCTGTCCCTCATCTCTTCAGCTCAAGGTGAACGCTCTACTGCTTGAGCCATAGCACCACTTCTGGTTTTTTGGTGGCTTATTGGAGATGAGTCTCATGATCTTTCCTGCTCAGGCTGACTTTGAACTGCACTTCAGATCTCAGTCTCCTGAGTAGCTAGGATTACAGGCATGAGCCACCAGCGCCTGGCTTTTTTTTGAGTAATTTAATGGAGAGAAGAGTCTCAATGGAGTTTCCTTCCTGGACTGGCTTTGAACTGTGATCATCACATCTCAGCCTCTTGAGTAGTTAGGATTATAGATGAGAGCCACCAGTGTCTGATTTTTTTTTTTTTAAATACTGTACTTCAGCTTATCAGTTGATGCAACTTTTGATGCGAATTGGTAGATGAATGAAATAGATTTCCTTGAGATAATTTCAGGAGAAGCTGAGAGTCCAATTCAGTCAATCATCTCTAAACTTTATTGCCAAATAATCAGCAAAACTCAGGGCAGAGGCTTGATTCAAATGGTAGCTTGCCACCCTGGCAAGTACAAGGTCTTGATTTCATGTTCCAGTATCACCAGAGGGGAAAGAGGTCAGTTAAACAGAATCCTTGTGTTAAAAGTTAGTGGTGAGCCGGCCGCCTGTTGTTCACGCCTGTAATCCTAGCTACTCAGGAGGCTGAGATCTGAGGATCGAGGTTCAAAGCCAGCCCGGGCAGGAAAGTCCGTGAAACTCTTTATCTCCAATAAACCACCAGAAAACCGGAAGTGGCATTATAGTTCAAGTAGTAGAGCCCTAGCCTTGAACTGAAGAGCTGAGGGACAGCGCTCAGGCCCAGAGTTCAAGCCCCACGACTGACAAAAAAAAAAAAAAAGTGGTGAGCCATGCGCCAGTGACTCAGGCCTGTAATCCTAGCTACCTAAGAGGCTGAGATCTGAGGATTGTGGTTCAAAGCCAGCCTGGAAAGCAAAGTCAGGGATACTCATAACTCCAGTAAACCACTAGAAAACTGCAAGTAGCACTGTGGCTCAAGTGATAGAGCACTAACCTTGAGCTGAAGAAATGAGGGACTGCCATCCCAAGGCTCAGAGTTCAAGCCCCACAACCTACAAAAATAAATTGGTGGTTGGGAATGTGGCTTAGTGCTGAGTGCTTGCCTCGCATGCATGAAGCCCTGGGTTTGATTCCTCAGTACCACATAAACAGAAAAAGCCAGAAGTAGTGCCCTGGCTCAAGTGTTAGAGTGCTAGCCTTGAACAAAAAGCAGCTCAAGGACAGTGTCCAGGCCCAGGGTTACAGCTTGTGGGGTCTTCCCCCCCCTCCCCCCCCTTCAAAAAAAGTGGTAGTCCAATTGTTCGTATCTATAATCCTAGCTACTCCAGGCTGAGATATGAGAACAGAATTCAGAGCCAGCTGTGGCAGGAAAGTCCTTGAGATTACCACCTCCAGTAAACCACTAGGAAACCAGAAATGGTGCTGTGGCCCAAAGTGCTGGCTTTGAGCAAAAAAACTCAGGGACAGCAACGGGCCTTGAGTTGTGAGAGCCTGAAAATCCAAGCTGTGAGACCGGGAAAGGATTGGGAGTGTGGAATGCCTTCTCCCAACATACTCTCAGAACTGCTGAGAGTCCTTGGAGAGGTCAATCAGTCCTGGCTTAATGGGAATTTGGATTTCTATCCAGAGAGTGGGCAAATTGTAAGCTCTCCTTCCCAGAAAAAGGTCATCTACTACTTATATGCAAATACTGTCACAGGTCGAAGCTTATACCTTACTTCCCTTGCACAAGAGCAATAAAATCCTTGACTGAAACCTTGGAATCTGAAGTTGGTGGAAGGCTGCAGGTCCCCTGCTATCCCAAACCTCAGTTCTACCATCTGGTGTCCATTATTGTTTTGTTCCCAGTCGCTGCTGGTCAAGGGGCATATGGTGGGTGGCAACATTGAGTTCAAGCCCAAAGACTGACAAAAAAGCCAGGTGCTAGTTGCTCAAGCCTGCAGTCCTAGCTACACAGGAAGCTGAGATCTGAGGATCATGGTTCAAAGCCAATCCAGGCTGAAAACTCTGAGACCCTTATCTCCAATTAACAACCACCTACCCCCCCCCCCCCCCAAAAAAAAAAAAAAAAGTGGTACTGTGGCTCAAAGTAGTAGAGTGCTAGCCTTGGGCAAAAGAGCTCAGGGACAGTGCCTAGGCCCTTAGTTCAAGTCCTATCACTGACTAAAAGAAAAGTCTTAGTAAAGGAGGTTAATTTTGCCTGCTGTCATTAATACTAAGGAAATGTTAAAATTAATTAAAAATAGGCAAGGATTCATACTAACAAAGTCAGTTCTATTAAGCATTTTCATTTTTTCTGTTAACTTCGTTTTTTTTGTTGTTGTTGGTTGTGGGGCTTGAACAGGGTACTTTCCCTGTGTGTGTGTGTGTGTGTGTGTGTGTTTAATAGACCATTATTTTTGAATGTGATGATAAAAACTTTTCTTGATTTCTAGTGAGCCTGGATTTGGGAAAGTAATTGACTTAGGACTTTTGCTTATCTTGAAATTTCTTTCAGGAGGCAAAACCTTCAACTGAGGACTTGGGGGATAAGAAGGAGGGAGAATACATTAAACTCAAAGTCATTGGGCAGGTGAGTTTCCCCTCCCTCCCTCCCTCCCTCTCTCTCTCCCTCTCTCTTCCTCTCTTTTCCTTCCTTCCTTCCTTCCTTCCTTCCTTCCTTCCTTCCTTCCTTCCTTCCTTCCTTCCTTCCTTCCTTCCTTCCTTCCTTCCTTCCTTCCTTCCTTCTTTCTTTTTCTCTAGGGTGTAAACATATAGGAACAATAATGGTTAAGACAAATTATTTTTTAAAAATTGCATCTTTACCATAATGAATCTGTTGAAGGAAGGGGAGACTTTGTTTTGTTACTTTGCTTTAGATTACCTTAATTTTTCCAACTAGAATTCTGTTCTTATAAATCACTTTTCTCCAATCCTTTTCTCTTCTGGCATCTCGTTCTCTAAACTGGAATCTGAATCGTATTAATTCCTTTGGATATGGTATTCCTTTGGATATGGTATATGCCATTTTCTGTGCCTTTTTGATGAGGGTGATGGGGCATTTGTTTTGTTGCTGTTAGAGGTTTATTTTGAAGAAATGCATTCTTTAATATACAAACTTACACTGGTAAGGTTTTTTTTTTTTTGGCGGTTGTGGGGCTTGAACTCTGGGCCTGGGTGCTGTCCCTCAGCTCTTCAGCTCAAGGCGAGTGCTCTACCACTTGAGCTACAGCGCCACTTCCGGTTTTCTGGTGGTTTATTGGAGATAGGAGTCTCACAGTCTCTCCTGCCCGGGCTGGCTTTGAACCACAATCCTCAGATCTCAGCCTCCTGAGTAGCTAGGATTACAGGCGTGAGCCACCGGCGCCTGGCTTGGTAAGGTTTTTGTTGTATGCTGGTCCTGGGATTTGAACTCAAAAGTCTGGGTGCTGTGCCTGAGCTTTTTTGTTCAAGGCTGGTGCTTTACCACTTGAACCACAGTTGAACTTCCAACTTTTTAGTGTTTAATTGGAGATAGTCTTAGAGATTTTCCTGCCTGGGCTGGCTGGCTTCAAACTGTGGTCTCCTGAGTAGCCAGAATTACAGGAATGAGTCACCAGTGCCCAGCTTACACTGATAAATTTAACTTCTAAGAAAGATTATCTTTGTAGATATAAAGCAGCTTTGAGGATAATTAGTGTTTTGATGAATTCTGTTAATGATAAAAGGAATATTTTGGTGGAAAAATATAGGAGACATGGTTAATGTTTCTATAGCATATATGTAATGATATGTATAATTAATTTTCTTTACACAAGTTAATTTATACAAAGAGAAATACTGTTTCTTCTTTTATCTCCTTAGGATAGCAGTGAAATTCACTTCAAAGTGAAAATGACAACACATCTCAAGAAACTCAAAGAATCATACTGTCAAAGACAGGTTTGTATATTTAATGTTAAATACCATGCTTTTTCTTTCTTTCTTTCTTTCTTTTTTTTTTTTTTTTTGGTCCGGTCATGGGGCCTGAACTCTGGGCCTGGGCGCTGTCCCTCAGCTCTTCAGCTCAAGGCTAGCACTCTACCACTTGAGCCACAGTGCCACTTCCAGCTTTTTTTTTCTTTTTGCTTATGTGGTGCTGAGGAATCGAACCCAAGGCCTCATGCATGCAAGGCAAGTGCTCTACCACTGAGTTACATTCCCAGCCCTGCTTTTTCATTTTTTTTTATTGAAGGTAGTCAAAAAGAAAATGATCTTAGTTAATTATTTTTGCCATTGGGAGCTAGAGGAAATCACTCTCATTTTATCATTTATCATACCCTCTTTTGTTGTTGTTGTTGTTGGTGGTGGTGGTCATGGTCATGGGTCTTGAACTCTGGGTGCTGTCCCTGAACTCTTCAGCTCAAGACCAGCACTCTACCACTTGAACTACAGCGCCACTTCTGGTTTTCTGGTGGTTAATTGGAGATAAGAGTCTCATGGACTTTCCCACCTGCTCTGGCTTTGAACCGCGATCCTCAAATCTCAGCCTCCTGAGTAGCTAAGATTACAGGCCTGAGCCACCAGCACCTGGCTTATCATATCTTTAATTGCCAATTTGCTTGTTTGACTAGTTTCAAAGTTTGAACTAGTAAGGAAAAGTAACTCAGTTATTTGCTTGTGGCTCATGTTTGTAATCCTAGCTACTTAGTAGACTGAGATCTATGGATTGTGGTTCACAGCTAGCCCAGGCAGGAAAGTCTTTTTGTTGTTGGTTGGTGGTGGTGGGTCAGGGGGCTTGAATTTAGGGCCTGGGCACTGTCCCTTAGCTAAGCCCAGTGCCACTTCTGGTTTTCTGGTGGTTAATTGAAGATAAGAGTCTAAAGAGGACTTTGCTCTTTGGGCTGGCTTTAAACTTCAATCCTCAGATCTCAGCCTCCTAATTAGCTAGGATTACAGGTGTGAGTGACCAGCACTTAGCTCCATGAAGCTTTTATATCCAAGTAACCACCAAAAATCTGGAAGTGAGGCTGTGGCTCAAGTGGTAGAGGGCTAGCCCTAAGCATAGAAACTCAGCACCTAGGCCTTAAGTTCAAGCTCCAAGACATCACACATAAAAATAGTAACTCAATTATAAAGACTTTTCAAATGAATGTTTCTTATTTTATTTTATTTATTGTTGGTCGTCCGTGTGTGTGTGTGTGTGTGTGTGTGTGTGTGTGTGTGTGTGTGTGTGTGTGTCGGTCATGGGGCTTGAATTCTGGGCCTGGGCGCTGTCCCTCAGCTCAAGGTGAGCGCTCTACCACTTGAGCTACAGCGCCACTTCCGGTTTTCTGGTGGTTTATTGGAGATAGGAGTCTCTTGGTCTTTCCTGCCCGAGTTAGCTTTGAACCGCGATCCTCAGATCTCAGCTTCCCGAGTAGCTAGGATTATCGGTGTGAGCCACCTGGCTGAATGTTTCTATCTTGTTGGCTTTCAAGTTTATGTAACAATAAAGGCAAGTGGAATTGGTGTTGATTATGAAACTTCCTAGTAGAGCACTGGTGGCTCATATCTATAATCCTAGCTACTCAGGAGGCTGACATCTGAGGATTGGGGTTTGAAGCCAGCCTGGGCAGGAAAGTCTGTGAGACTCTTACCTCCAATAAACTCTGAAAAGGCTGGAAGTGGTGCTGTGGCTCAACTGGCAGAGCACTGGCCTTGAGCCAAGAAAGCTCAGGGATAGCATCCAGTTCTTGAGTGCAAGTCCTAGGACCAGTACGTGCGCGCGCACACACACCTGGAAAATTCTTTGTGCTTCTGACCACAAGTATTATTCCATATGTTAAATTGAAATTCTAGCTGGGTGCTGGTAGCTAAAGGAGGATTGAAGTTTCAAGCCATTCTGTGCAGAAAAGTCTGGGATTCCATCTCCAAAATAATAAGCCAAAGGCCAGGCTGGAGGTGGTAGAGTGCTGACTGAGCAAGCAAGTCAAAGACCATGACATGCTCATTTCAAATCCCAATGCCACAAAAATGCTACTACTGTCATCCCCCCCTACATGTTTTTTTTTGGCTCTGGTCGTGGGGCCTGAACTCTGGGCCTGGGCGCTGTCCCTCAGCTCTTCAGCTCAAGGCTAGCGCTCTACCACTTGAGCCACAGCACCACTTCTGGCTTTTTTCTTTTTGCTTATGTGGTGCTGAGGAATCAAACCCAGGGCCTCATGCTTGCAAGGCGAGCGCTCTCCAACTGAGCTACCTTCCCAGCCCCCCTACATGTTTTACTGTTATCAATTAGTTGCACAAGGGAAGAAGTGTATTGTCTTTATAGCACTACTGATTACTGTTAATTATATTTCATGTTTCAGTAAGAACTTGCTTTAGAAAAAAAATCTCTATAAGCCGGGCGCTGGTGGCTTACACCTGTAATCCTAGCTACTCAGGAGGCTGAGATCTGAGGATCTCGGTTCAAAGCCAGCCCGGGCAGGAAAGGGCAGGAAAGTTCGTGAGACTCTTACCTCCAATAAACCACTAGAAAACCGGAAGTGTTGCTTTTGCTCAAGTGGTAGAGCGCTCACCTTGAGCTGAAGAGCACAAGGACAGCGCCCAAGCCCAGACTTCAAGCCCCATGACCGACAAAAAAAAAAAAAAGCTATGTAGAAATATTTAATACTAAATCTTCACATTCTAGCCTTTGATTTACATTTGGGCTCCACTGCTGCATGGCTATGTAACCTGGACAAGTTACTTAACCTTCATGCTTTTTTCCCCTCATTAGTAGAATGAAAACACTGTAATAATCACCTCTTGAAAGTGAAATGAGATAGCCAATTTAAAGCCTTAACATGGTGCTACTTAGGAGGCTGAGATTCTAGGATCATAGTTTGAAGCCACCCTAGGCAGGAAAGTCATGAGATTCCAATTAATCACCCAAAAGCTGGAAGTGACTGTGGCTCAAGTGGTAGACTGCCAGACTTGAGCAAAAAAACTCAGGGACAGGGTCCTATGTTCAAGTTTCAGGACTGGATCAAAAACAAAAAAAGTTACTTATTATAAACGTTACTTATGATCATTGTTAATAAAAATATATTTTAATAAGTATAATTAGAATTAACATATGTAAGAAATAAGAATATTCTAAAGTGAAATGATCTAAATCAATCATCAAGAAATAAGTTTAGTCAGTCTGTATTAAAATTGAATTTAGAAAAGACAATGAATTTTAGGGCTGGGAAGATGGCTCAGTGGTAGAGCGCTTGCCTTGCATGCTCAAGGACCTGGGTTCGATTCCTCAGCACCACATATGCAAAAAAGAAAAAGCTGGAAGTGGCGTTGTGGCTCAAGTGGTAGAGCGCTAGCCTTGAGCTGAAGAGCTGAGGGACAGCGCCCAGGCCCAGAGTTCAGGCCCCACGACCGGACCCAAAAACAAAACAAACAGAAAAGACAATGAATTTTACATTGTACCAGTGGTGCATGTTTATAATTGTAAACTTAAGAAGCTGAGATGTGAAGATAGTGGTTCAAAGCCAGCTTGACCGGACAAATCCTCAAGACTCTTTTATCTCCAGTTAACCAGCAAAAAGCAGAATTGGGGGTGTGGTTTAAGTAGTAGAGCTACTATTGTGAGCCAGAAAGCAGAGCAAGAATAAAAGGCTCTGGGTTCAAGCCTCATGCTGTCATTTAAAAAAGGAGCAACAAGTGGTACAGCGCTAGCCTTGAGCTGAAGAGCTGAGGGACAGTGCCCAGGCCCAGAGTTCAAGCCCTACGACTGACCAAAAAAAAAAAGGCGCAAGAAAGCCAGGCACTGGTAGCTCATGCTTGTAATCCTAGCTACTCAGGAGTCTGAGATAAGAGGATCATGGTTCAAAGCCAGCATGAGCAGGAAAGTCCATAAGAAACTTATTTCCAGTTAACCTCTAGAAAACCGAAGTGGCCCTGTGGCTCAAGTGGTAGAGTAGGACCTACCCTTGAGCTGAAGAGCTGAAGGACAGTACCGAGGCCCAGAGTTCAAGCACCACAACCGACAAAAAAAAAAAAAAGGCAAGGAAAGAAAAAAAAGAAAGCCACTTCTGGCTTTTGGATCCTTTTTTTTTTTTTTTTTGGTTGGTTGTGGGGCTTGAACTCTGGGCCTGGGCGCTGTCCCTCAGGTCTTCAGCTCAAGGTGAGCACTCTACCACTTAAGCTACAGCGCCACTTCTGGTTTTCTGGTGGTTTATTAGAGATAGGAGTCTCACAGTCTTTCCTGCCCGGGCTGGCTTTGAACCATGATCCTCAGATCTCAGCCTCCTGAGTAGCTAGGATTACAGGCGTGAGCCTGTAGGATTACAGGGCGCCCGGCCCTTATTTATTTATTTTTCTTTAATTTTTTTTTTTTTTTTTGGTCCCGTCGTAGGGCCTGAACTCTGGGCCTGGGCGCTGTCCCTCAGCTCTTCAGCTCAAGGCTAGCACTCTCACTTGAGCCACTTCCGTTTTTTTTTTTTTCTGCTTATGTGGTGCTGAGGAATAGAACCCAGGGCCTCATGCATGCAAGGCAAGTACTTACTCTACCACTGAACCACCTTCCTAGCCCATAGCTTTTGGATCTTTAATTGGAGATATGAGTCTCTAGGATTTTCCTGCCCAGGCTAGCTTCTGTGATCCTTAAATCTTAGCCTCCTGAGTAGATGGGATTATAAGTATAAGCCAATGGTACCTGGATTAGTTTTTTAATATTAAGCTCTCTTGGCTGCACTGTATAAATTTAAGATTTGCTATTTGTTTATTTTTAGGGAGTTCCAATGAATTCACTCAGGTTTCTCTTTGAAGGTCAGAGAATTGCTGATAATCATACTCCAAAAGAAGTGAGTATCCTCTTGAATATTTTTTTTCCTTTTTGTCAGTTGTGGAGCTTGAATTTGGAGCCTGGATGCTGTTCCTGAGCTCCTTTGCTCAAGGCTAGCACTCTACTACTTGAGCTACAATGCCACTTCCAGTTTTCTGGTGGTTAATTGGAGACGAGTCTCTCAGACTTTCCTTCCTGGGTTGGCTTTGAACCATGATCTTCAGTTCTCAGCCTCCTGAGCAGCTAGACAGGGGTGAGCCACCAGTGCCCACCTGAATTAAAAGGAACAAAGGTGTTGGGGTTGTAGCTCAGTGGTAGAGCATGTGCTTAGCATTCATAAAGTCCTGTTTTTTTCTTCCATCATTACAAAACAAAGTGTGTATGTACATGAATGCATAAATGCACATATGTTTTTGGGAGTATGTTAGGGTTTGAATGCAGGGCCTTGTACTTGCTAGGTAGGCACTGTCTGTCTAGTCCAGCCTATCTAGTTGGTTCTGCCAGTCGTGGGACTTGAACTCAGGGCCTGAGTTCCTGAGCCTCTCTGTGCTTAAGGCTAGTGCTCTGTCCCTTGAGCTACAGTACCACTTCCAGCTTTTTCTGAGTAGTTTATTGGAGACAAGAGTCTTGTGGACTTTCCTGCCCTGCTAGGGCTGGCTTCAAACTGTCTGCCTCCTGAGTAGCTAGGATTGCAGGTTGTTTTCTTTTTGGCTTGTACTGGATTTGAACTCAGAGCTTCGTGTTTGCTTGGCTGGCACTCTTCCACTTGATCCACTCCTTCAGCCTAGGTTTTTGTTGGTTATTTTGGAATGAGAGTCTTTTGGACAGAAAGTCCTTTTCTGTTTGAGCTAGCTTCAAAGTGCAGCCCTCTGGGTCTCAGCCTCTTGTGTAGCTAGGTTTACAGGTGTGAGCCACTGACACCCTCTTAATACTTCAATTTTATATAGTGAATCATTTGGGAAGTGAAATTGACACAGTAAAAAGAATAGCTGGATAATCCGAACTGGAAGGAGGATATAACTACTCTTTTTAGATGTTGGAGGTAAGGTGTTTTGAACCTAGAGCTCTAAACATGGAAGGTAAATCACTAAGTGATATCCCTGGCCCTTCTAGGTTCTTTAGGTGAAAGAACTGTAGAGCACTTCAAAATAGTGGCCACATAATTGCAGCCAATTTTAAAATAGTGAATTTATATTCTCTTACTAACATTTTTCTCCTCTTACAGCTGGGAATGGAGGAAGAAGATGTGATTGAAGTTTATCAGGAACAAACGGGGGGTCATTCAGCAGTTTAGATATTCTTTTTATTTTCTTTTTCTTTTGCCTCAATCCTTTTTTATTTTTAAAAATAGTTCTTTTGTAATGTGGTGTTCAAAATGGAACTGAATACTGGCACTCCCATCTCTTTAAAACATCTGTTAATTTGATTCTAGTGCTCATTATTATCATTTGTTTTCATTGTGCTGATTTTTGGTGATCAAACCTCAGCTCCTTTCACATTGCCCTCTCATTTTAAAAAATGACGTTTGTGCACAGAGAGGCCACTTTTCAGGACTGCAATTTTAGGTAACATCGACCAATGCGAGTGTTCACAAAGACTTTCCAATTGGCCCTGAAGTTCTAGCATGTGATTGCTTCACTCCTGGACTATGACTTTCAGTGGTAGATGGAAGTTTTTCATAGAACTGAACTGTGGGGAAAATGACCTTTCCTTAACTTGAAGCTACTTTTTAAAGTCTGAGGGTTTGGACCAAAAGAAGAGGAAGATATCAGGATTGGAATCAAGCTGGCAGACATGGTAAGAGTGATGCTTAACTCCAAAGATGGCTTCACTGAAGAGAAAGTGTTTTAAGATTAAAAAAAAATCTTGTCAGAAGAACCCAGAAAAGTTCTAATTTTCATTAGAAGTTAATAAAGTTGTTCATGAAGAAGTGTATACAACAGAACACTGCTCCTTTTGATTTTATTTGTACTTTTTGGCCTGGGACATGGGTTTTAAATGGACACTGTCTGTACCAGCCTCATTAAAATAAACAATATTTGTAAAAATCGCACTAGTGCTCATTTTATTTTAAATGTATAGAAGAAGAAAACTAAAGGTTTTCTTGCATGGTACTGGAAATCATTTGCAAACGGTACAAGTATTTCTTCAGTACTGTATAGTGATGATGTTAATAACTTTCACTGAAAGTTACTGAAGTGCCTTCTGAATCAAAGATTTAACTAAGACCATAGTATCTTTGAAAATATTCAATGTTTTGCTTTTTAAAAAATTGACATCCCTGTATGGTGCATATAATGATAGTTACCCAATTCAATTGAATAAATGGGCATGCCAAAAAATTTTCAGTTGGTTTATGGTGATAATTTCAGTTACTTTTAACAGTTTACAAAATGTCTGCCTAGTTATGATTCAGTATATTTATTTATTTATTTATTATTTTATTTTTTTGGTCGGCCGTGGGGCTTGAACTCTGGGCCTGGGCGCTGTTGTTCAGCTCTTCAGCTCAAGGAGAGCGCTCTACCACTTGAGCTACAGCACCACTTCCGGTTTTCTGGTGGTTTATTGGAGATAAGAGTCTCACGGTCTCTCCTGCCCGGGCTGGCTTTGAACCGAGATCCTCAGATCTCAGCCTCCTGAGTAGCTAGGATTACAGGCGTGAGCCACCAGCGCCCCGGCGAGTATATTTATTTTTTTAAACCAGTTGTGGGTCTTGAACTCGGGGCCTAGGCACTGTCCCTAAAATCTTCAGCTCAAGTCGAGTGCTCTACCACTTGAGCCACAGCCCCATTTCTGGTTTTCTGGGGGTTAATTGCAGATAGGAATCTCATGAATTTTTCTGGCTTTGAACTGTGATCCTCAGATCTCAGCCTCCCTAGTAGTTAGGATTATAGGCATGAGCTACCTGTGCCTGGCTAGTAAATTTCTTCACATTTTCCTTTTAGTTACGTTGCAAATTGTTAAACTTTACATGAAATAACATTTCTTTCTTTTTTTTTTTTGGGTCCAGTCGTGGGGCCTGAACTCTGGGCCTGGGCGCTGTCCTTCAGCTCAAGGCTAGCGCTCTACCACTTGAGTTACAGCGCCACTTCCAGCTTTTTTCTTTTTGCTTATGTGGTGCTGAGGAATCGAACCCAGGGCCTTGAGCATGTAAGGCAAGCGCTCTACCACTGAGCCACCTTCCCAGCCCCAACATTTATTTCTTTTAGAGTGCTAAACTTTTCCTTTTAACTCTAGTGAATCACAAAATTCAACATATTTATATATACAATCCTATTTCCACTGTTAATCTCAGGTAGAGTGCCTCCAAATACTTGAGAGCAAGTAAAATCTGTTAACAACTTAAGTATCTATCTCAAGCTACTTGTTGAAAAAAAGTAGACTGGTTTAATCTTATAGACTACATTTGACTCTACATGAAAGAAATAATTTGAATTATGTAAATTAAAGCTTTGCGACTGTAATTTGACATTTATCATAATTATTAACAGTGCCTAGGAATAAGGTTCAGTTTTAGAAAATCCTCATGAGTTGGCTCTTTTTTTTCTTTTTTTTTATGCTGGGCTTGGACACTGTCTCAGATTTGTGCTCAAGGCTAGTGCTCTACCACTTGACCACAGTTTTCATTTCAGCTTTTTTTTAAAGTTAATTGGAGATAAAAGTCTTAATGGATTGGCTTTGAACCGTGATCCTTAGATTTTAGCCCCCTGAGTAGCTAGGACTACAGTCATGAGCCACTGGTGCCCGGCAAAATATTTTAGCCAATATTGAACAAATCTGGCTAGCTCACTTATCCAGAATAAGTGAATATGTAGTTTTTTTTTTGCTGGTCGTGGGGCTTACACTCGGCCTAGCGCTATCCCTCAGCTCTTCAGCTCAAGGCTAGCGCTGTACCAGCGCTACTTGCGGTTTGCTGGTGGTTTACTGGAGATAAGAGTTTCATAGACTTTCCTGATCTCTGCCCCCTGAGTAGGATTACAGGCGTGAGCCACCTGGCTAATAGGTAGTTTTAAGATTTTAATTTTGTTTACCTTTCTAAATGTCTGAAGGCTTCTGAACATTTAGATGGAGCTTAGTAAGAAGTAATTTTGTTTAGTTTTTTGAATTCTTCTAAATTGTTATGTTCTGCTATGGCTAACTTAAAAATGTGCTTATTTGATAAAATGGACACTTCAAAGCAAAAATCTAATAGAATGTCACATTTGGAAGAATATCACATTGGAAGTAGCTTGTCTATCTGGTGCTTGACTACAACTTCCTACATTTGTAAACGGGAGAAATTAAGGTCCATAATGCTAATTTTCTCTACCTGGATATTTTCCTTTAATGGTTATTCTTCTGTTCTTGGTTGAATTAGTTGAGATGCTCTTATCTGCTTAAGTACTATTGAATAATTTGAATAAATATGCATGTGGAATCAGTATGTTAAAAAAAAAAGCTCAAATGACAATTTGAGTTTATTACCCATGCATTGTTCTTGTTTTATATACCATACTGAGTTAAAGCATTGAGTCTAAGCAAATCCATCAACAACATTGAATCCAAATTAAGGTTTAGAGGTGTAATTTCTAAGGAAATCAAATGAGCATTAGTGAGAAATTGGAGGGAATTACCTAATACTGTTTTTCTATATATGGTCAAGTGGAGTTTAGGACCAATAGAAATTTGTGGAAAGACTTATTTGGCTTGATGGTGTGATATATCTATCTATCTATATATTTTTTTTAATGTCGTGGAGCTTGAACTCTGGGCCTGGGAGCTGTACCTCAGCTCTTCAGCTCAAGGCAAGTGCTCTATCACTTGAGTCACAGGGCCACTTAATGCTTTTCTGAGTGGTTTATCGGAGATTGGACTCATAGACTTTGCTGCCCAGGCTGGCTTTTGAACCCTGATCCTTGGATCTCAGCCTCCTGAGTAGCTAGGATTACAGGCGTGAGCCACCAGTGCCCTGCTTGATGGTGTGGTTTTTAAATAAAATTTGTGAGTTAGTCTTCAAGGCAAAGGAGCAAAAATTTAAGTTCCTTCTCAGGGTTCAAAATTAATCCTGTTAGAACTTTTGTGATGTGGAAATATTCTATATTAGTGCTGTCTGATATAATAGCACTTGAAGTGTAGCTGCTTTGAAAGATTGAATGCCTTTATTTTATTTTATTTTTTGGGTCCGGTCGTGGGGCCTGAACTCTGGGCCTGGGCACTGTCCCTCAGCTCTTCAGCTCAAGGCTAGCGCTCTACCACTTGAGTTACAGCGCCACTTCCGGCTTTTTTCTTTTTGCTTATGTGGTGCTGAGGAATCGAACCCAGGACCTCAGCCATGCAAGACAAGCGCTCTACCACTGAGCCAACTTCCCAGCCCCTTGAATGCTTTTAATAGCTGCTGTTATGTATATCTTATGTGACTGTGGTGCTCTAGACTGTATGCTTCTAGGCTGTGAAAGAATTACCTCACAAAACATTTCTTTTTGCTCCCCTCTCCAATTTTTCTTTCTCACTCTCCCCCCCCCCCCCCAAGTCCTGGGGTTCGAACTCAGGGCCTGGACACACTGTCCCAGAGTTTCTTTTGTCCAAGTTTAGCACTCTTACCACTTGAGGCACGCGCCACTCCTGGCTTTTTCTGTTATGTGGTACTGAGAAATCGAACCCAAGACTTCATGCATGCTAGGCAAGCACTCTACCACTAAGCCACATTCCCAGCCCATTCCCCCCCCCCCCCCAATTTTTTAAATTATCTACCAAAAAGCTGCCATTTAACAAAGAAGCTTTATGAATACAGTGCATCTTTATCAATTTCATCCCTTTCAACATTTTCCTTTTGCTCAAAGTGAACATTTGTCATGTGATTACAAAGACATTTAATGGTTGTGGGGTTAGGCTTAAAGAATTTCTATATGCATCAGCTAATTCTGAATTTTCATAAGTTCCATATACCTGGAACTCTTTCAAACACATTAACTGGAATGAAATAGGTTGAATGTCATAAAATTTTCAGTTTCAAATTGAAATTATGGAATCTGGGTAATTTTATCCACTAACGCTGAAACTGTAGGTCTAGAACATAGATTTTAAATAGGTGAAGAGCAGTTGGGTAAAACAGAGTGTGTTGTGTGTAAGAGTGGGAATAAAAGTTCCAGAGGAGAAAGTCTGATGTGGATTCAGAAAAGCCAGGTGAGACAACTAATCAGGCTCAGGATGGAATTTTATTATGAAAACTTTTGTGTGTGTGTGTGAGATTGAGAGAGAGAGAGAGACTACCTCTCAACTTACTTTTTAGTTTTCTTCTAGCCTTATGGCTTGGGTATTTGTAGGAACTGGAAATAAGAATAAACCCATGGTCTGGAAATGTTTTGTGTCCACTTCAAGCCACTGGCTTCCTTATGGAGTTCTCGGTTGAAATGAAATTGTTTCTCCAAAGCAGCTTTTTGCCTAAGGAGACAACCCCGCCCCCCCCAGGTGCAAGAATAAGTACCCTAGAAATCTTGTAAGTTGGTAGAGCTTTACATCTGAATAATCAACTGATAGGCTGGGTTTTAGATAATATTCTGCATGTTTAGTAACTATATAAAGTTTAGGGTATCCTGAGCATCTTCTTAGAAAAGCAAAAAGGAAGGCATAATTTATAATTCTTAAACTGGTACTATAAGAGTACCTGTGCTGAGCTGGACTCTGGTGGCTCATCCTTTAATCGTAGCTACTCAGGAATCTGAGATCTGAGCATTTTGATTCAAAGACTGGGCAGGAAAGTCTTATCTCCAATTAACTAGTCAAAATCTGTAAATAGAGCTGTGGCTCAAGTGGTCAAGGGCCAACCTTGAGCAAAAAACTTTAAGGGACAGCACTCTGGCTTTGAGATCAAGCCCAGAAAAGATAAGCCCAAGTCAGTTAGCATTGTTTTAATCTTTGGTGGAATGAAGTTGAATATGGTTCAATCCTTCGCTGTGTGTGTTTGTTCATGGCGTTCCTGTACTTTGGTTAGGACTCAGGGCCTAGACACTCCCTGAGCTTTTTTGCTTAAGGCTAGCACTATACTGCTTGAGCCACAACTTCATGCATAGCAGT